GAAGTGAATCTACACTGTTGATGTCACTTGGCATTGCAAATCAACTGCCCAGCCAAGTGAGCTAACTGATCTCCTACTTGTTTCAATAGGTTCAATACTTGGTATGTCCAGTAATTGCAGAGCACCAAAGTCAATGGGATGTTGGGGGATATGGCCAAACCAGCAGAAAGTTAGTCATTGTGGTATAATGGTCAGAATTTATAGATGTCAGCCAAACCTTTAATATTGCATACAGATCTGGTCACCAGAAATTAGGGATTTGTTTAAATGTAAAGAGCCATATGTCTCATCCCCAGCGCAGAATATCTTGGTTTTCAGGAATTTCACGGGAAGCCATTAAACTTTTTACATCTGAAACAAAATAACTGATTGGTGAGCACGTAGAGACGTAGAAGCTTGCTCTGTTGTTAGATAACATTGCAACAGGATATTATTTCAAATAAACTTGAAAGGGTTCAGAAAAGATTTACAATGATGTTGCCAGGGTTGGAGGGATTGAACTATAGGGAGAGGTTGAATAGGCTGGGGCAATTTTCCCTGGAGGTTCAGAGGTGGAGGGGTGACCTTATAGAAGTTTATAAAATCATGAGGGGTATGGATAGGGTGAACAGGCAAGGTCTTCTCCACAGGGTAGGGGAGCCCAAACCTAGAGGGCATAGGGTTAAGGTTAGAGGGGAAAGGCTTAAAAAGGACCTGAGGGGCAACTTTTTCATGCAGAGGGTGCTGTGTGTATGGAATGAGCTGCCAGAGGATGTGGTGGGGGTACAACTACAACATTTAAAAGGCATCTGGATGGGTACATGAATAGGAAAGGTTTAGAAAGATGTGGGTCAAATGCTGGTAAATTGTACTAGATTAATTTAGGATATCTTTTCGGCATGGATGAATTGGACTGAAGGGTCTGTTTCTGTGCTGTATGACTCTATGACTCTAATTATCAAAATTGTACAAAATTTAAGATACAGAAGTAGTCATTCTGAAGTGTTCCACCCATCATTCAATCCTTGAAAAGATATCCAACCTAATTTCAGACACTCATGTCCAAGTAGGAAATCACTAGGTGTCATTTACGAACTAACTATACTGCTGGCATTTTGCTGAACCAAAAAAAAGGTCAAATGGCCTTCTTCAGATCATAATTGAGTGCTCTCAGAAAAAAATCTTTATTCATGTTCCGAACATAAACAATGACAATCTATTTCACCGCAGATTGTCCTCCTCTAATATAATCAGGAATCAAAAAAAAAGGAGAATGTTCTTTCGCTCCAGCTTTGAAGATGTTCACAGCAAACGGTCCAGCTGAAATCAGAAAAAATCTCCACGGCACAGGAGCCCAACATGAAATCTTTCTGCTGTGCGTCCACAAAACGTTTAGGTACTATCGCATTTGAGAATTCCGCTCAACAAAACCTGCCATCTATAGGTCAAATGGAGAGTCAGCGAGCACTGCAAGCGTCTACACATAAGTTTGATGTCTGTAAATTAAAAATAAACGCAGTAAAATAAACACGGCGTTTCTAGTTGGAACTCCCACACTAGCGCGTTTTTTTTTTGTTTATATTTTGCAATGGGAAAGCACAAAAATATCTAGTCACTTTAAAATTGCAGCAAAACAGCATATGCCTTTGCTTTCCAAAGAATGTGCAAATGTTACCAACGGATACCTCAGGCTAACTTGATAACAGCATCAATAATCTGAACGAACATGATATGTCACGGAAAAAGAAGCGTGTGAACGTGTTTTTTTTTAAAGAAAGCCTCCAGAACAAAATCTGGTGCCTAATTTGTGCAGTTCTCACGAAATAAATTATTAAGCTATTGCATGGGGAAGCAGCACCGTCAGACAACAGAAAGAAACTCTGAAAACGTTTGCAAGTTTTTCCCTTGAGACACAAGAATCAAGAAGGCACTGCATGATCCAGTAAGTGTGGTACAACTATTTGTAACAGAGTATGCAACTGGACACAGTAAGTCATACATATTATTCAGTAATTAAGGGATAAGGCAACCTTCGGTGGATTTTGACAGACGTATACCTTAACTGTAATTCTAACTTTATCTTAAGATTCAACTTTGAACGCAGAGTCCCTTCAACAACCTACAATGCAGCATTCACTGCTCCTCCAGTTGCTCCAGTCATGTACTACGCTTTACTCAAAGTCTAGAAACCAACTCGGTAGTTACATATCAGTGACGTGCAAGTAAGGGTGGAGATTGGCTAGTTTTGTGCACATATTTGCTGAGACAAGGGCCCCACTTAATCAATGGTCTTTGTTTTACAGTCCACTGCCACTGGGCGCTACCACCGTCCCAGATTTGGCTATGGGATAGTTTAGAATTTAATTCTGGCTGGAGTAGAAGAAAAATAAAGTGGAAAATGTTAGCATCAAAGCAACTTGAGAATGGTGCAAAATATGTACTCATGTACATGTATATTTGTCTTGCACTTTATAAAGTTGCCAGTGGTCTTCGCCCTTCTTTTGAAGGCTCTGATTTATGTCTTTCATCAATGGTATCTCACCTATCAAACAACTTTGGACATTGTTACAGTGTCTCTATTGATGTAACCATTTAAAACAGCCCAAACGTAAGACTTGAGAGTTTTTCCCACTCAGTGTTCCACCATAAGAAATATTTACCTGCTGCACTATGAGGGGCATTATTTGGTATAATATTAATTGATTTGGTTTTTGATGTATGCACACACTACTGTTATTGATAATTGACTGACTTTTCCTCCTCCTTTTCGTACATGTCTGTTGGCTGCTCCCAGAGTTCAGTTTGATGGAGTACAGAATGTCAATAAGTTTATGTCCATTCTTTATGTGCGAGCTGAAAATGAAACAGTTTTCAGGACATTCAGGCTCTGGGATCTTTGTATCTGTGCCTTGTGCATGTCTTCCAAGTCTGGCTTCCATGCTTTCCATCAGAGGCCACTCAAAAAATGATTAGGAGTAGGAACCTAGATTACTTTCCAGGAATATTACAACAAACTGCAGTACTCATACTGCCTCCACAACAGAGATCAGCTAATTCCACACAGTCCAAGGAGCCAGGCTGGAAACGTTTGTTTTCTTGGTCAAGGGAATGTGTATCTGAGTCATAACTGAGCTTTAGGAGGAAGTAGGCAATGCAATCTTTTAAACAAGCAACAACATTGAAATGTTGCTTAATGTAATGGTAGAAGTTGACATTCAGGGAGTGGCCTCTTGTCGAGTTTTCTTCAAAACTGTGGTTGAATCTAATTTGATAAAATAATTCAATAGGTAGTAAATAAAGAAGTAGTGACCCTGTCTACATTCAAATGGTAAAATCCACAATAGTCAATGGCCAAAGATACTAATGTTCTTGAGTAAATCTTTGTAAGAGGAAGCATCTGAATTGACAGAGTTGCACTTAATTGTTTAATCTGTGTTTAAAGATGTTTGGGGCTGAAGGTAAACGGTGGAAGCACTAAAGTTCATGGTAAACAAGATAACTGATAAGTGCATCTATTTTCTGTGGTTAAGCAGTCACTGTTGTGACAGGGTCAAAAGGTGATGTTAACCTTCTTCGTGACTTACACAGATTCTACCTAAATCTCAGTTTAAGAAAAACATGATGTCGTGTGACATGAAACAGCTATTTTATTTAATGTATATTTCTGCTGGAAGAAGTAAGCAATTATTATCCTAAAGTATCTCTGAGGAGCTTGACAGGGGAGAGTGGGAGGTGGAAATAAAGTATAGGAATGTACATTGCATCACTTTCAATACTTTTTGTCTTGTCTGGTAAATATTAATGAATTCTTTGCAAGAGCACTTTCAGTATCTGTGGCTAGCAGTTCTTCACAAAGCTTTTATTTGCTTTGGAGGACATTTTGTGGTTCAAAATAATGTCACAACTGCCTAGTGAAAATCTGACAAAATAGTTTGAAAACTTTTGAAAAGTTTTATCTTGGTGCTTGTAGTTTGTATCGTGCTGGTGAATATTAAGGTCTCTAATTTCCATTATTTTTCAATGCAGATAACAAGCTAAATGTATTTCACGTTTTTAAATCTGGATGCTTCCTTTAAAATGTTTAATTAATGTGATGTAGTAATTAATTATGTTTTGTGTATTTGTAAATAAACCTGAATCTGCATGTAGATTTAAAACAATTTCATTTAGGTGACTAAATAAAGCATCTTCATGAAGGAAATAAAAGAACTGGTGTAATAGCTCTTTATAAGTAGTCAGGACATCTCAAAGTGTTTCCTGTTCAATCAATCACATTTGAATCATAAGTATTGGTGTTGAGTAGGCAAATGCAATTTGCTATGATACAGTTGACCAGATAATCTGTTTCAGTTGAGGAAGAAATGTTGTTAAGGACTCCAGCAGAAATCCTCCTGCTTTTCTTTAAAGAGGGGAATGGGTTCATTTATATTAACTAATTGAAACTCTTAGTTTAAGATCTAAGCTGAAAACGTACAGTCTCAGTTTGGTCGAACTAAATTACTTGGTCAAATCTTGAACAACCTTGAAATCACACCCTACTGAGTCAGAAACTGGAGTAATCTCACTGAGCCAAGCAACCATTGCTTATGAAGCTCTCAGTTGGCACACTTACTTCCTTTTAAAGATGGGATTTAAGACTTTTCCCAGCATTCACGCTTCACCTCACTGGAAGTTGAATAACGGGTCCATTTTGCCTCAGGCCTCTACCTAATTTAACCACCTGTAAACTACAAGGAGCAGCCCAGTGTTATTTTACACTGTTTGCTATTTAGACCTCACTACAATTACTTTTGTATGCATTCCAGTCCCTAAACCCTTCATCTTATTATCGGTAAGCTTTTCAAGATTGCTATGCCAAAAATTTTAATGTGCCACATGTCAGAAAGCGCTTTGAAATTGTGGGACTCACGTTGGTACACGTTCTGAAACATTTTAGATTCTTAGTTTGCCTGCCCCCAGCTGAGAAAAAAGGTTTCATTGCAAGTTTTCTTTCAAGCATATAGACTTCAGACAGATGTGGATTGGCGATTTATGTACAAACCCTATATTTATCTTTGATTACATATAAATACAAATTAGCTATTTTCTAAAAAGTGGTTACAATAGCAATAAATACAAAATAGGAATTCGACCATTATACTTCATGTGTTGGGGGTTAAACCCGTATAAACATGTACATCTGAAATACAATTAAACATCATTTAAAAGGAACAATTCTCTGATTAAAATATTTATTTTCCCAATTTCTTTTTAAGTAACCATAAATATATTTTCAAAATAGATGTTTCTATTTTGTTAATTTTTATATAAATAGTGTCTTCATTGGGAAATAGTAAAGTGTCAAGTTTTTTGTGATAAATTTCTTTTTCTGCTTTAACGACATCCACAACCCTCCACAACCATATCTTGGTAGTTCTTTAATACAACTTTGTCGTACTCATCAAGATAAAGCATTGAAATGGGACTGAGGTCCGTGGGGACACAGCATGCCCTGGGAATGTTTGCATTGACTGAGTTCACCAATGTCTGCACAATGGCATGGTTTGTTGAGTTTAAGTGATCTGCTAGTGGAAAAGGGCACTCTCCTTGGCAGTAAAACGCATGATATCCTGGAGGTGCCACTATCCAGTCATTCCACCCCACGTCACTGAAATCTACGTATAAAGGATGCCTCTTGCAGCTCGACTTGGACCTCTTCTTCGGCTTGTGTTTGACCTGACGCCTCACTCTTTTCTCAAGAGTGTGTCCTTTACCATTGTGGCTAAACGTCACCAATAAAGGCCTCATCTGAGGCCAGCTTTCTTCATCTTGATGCAAAGACCGACTGATCCTGACATGTCGCTTTGAATGTCTGCACTCTTTGTCCAAGTGAATGACTTCCACCATAAACCCATGGTTGGGCTGGCCCTGTGCGGTCCATCTCATAACAGAAGGGCTGACATCAAAGCTCTCCCATTTGCTCACATTGTGATGCACCACCTTTGTGTCCAGCAACCGGGTAATGGGATCGCTGGACGAGGACCCCGTTGCTTTGAGAATCTCATAAACATTGATGCGATGGTAACCGCTGCTGGAGTTTGCACAGGTTTCTTGTTCCCGCTGGCGGTAGATCCTCAGTTCTGCCGAGGTGATGAGCTCCTCCCTCGGTATAGAGTTTAAATTGAAGAAAAAACGACGGACTACCTCTCCCCTGGCTCCAGGCAAATCCTCCAGTAGTTCTAAAATGAGAAAGACATCAGAATCACCACTAGCCACATTGCAAAGCTCACTGGTGAGGCTAATCTGATACCATATGGTAACACATAAATCACAACTACTCAATGTTTGAGTTAATGATTACAAAATGTATTAACCACAATATCAACATAAATGATAAATACTAATCTCATCATTGGACGCTTTCAACAAAAGATGATTTTCTCCCCTTAGTAATCTGTCATAACTGACAATACATTAAAACTGTGGTATATCTGAACCGTTTAATATGACATATGATTGTAAGTAAATAACCTGACTAAATTGATTATGTTCAAAACACAATACAATCTACTTGCTTACTTCATCACACTGTAGACTTTGAAATGATATTTGCACGTGAGTGTTTGAGGGCAGGTTTGGATTGGAAACAAAAGATATTTAAGATGATCAGTTTACTTTTGGTTTTAACCCTCAGCAATTGGGAATCGCAAACATAACCAGGGAGCCCTCACTGGACTCATGCTTGGTAATCCAACTGATTTCCTTACTTTTGCATCAGTGTCCTTCACCACAGACAGAACATGACCACATTCCAAGAAATGGGTCTGTGTGGGGAATATAACCTGAGATATTTGAGTAGCCAAGAATTCCTCTGTAAAACCTGCAAAAAATGAACAGCACTCTTTCACTCAGCTTTGCTGAATTGTTTGGCGGGTGCATTTAATACTTTACAACCCAAGACTGACTTGCCACAAAGGTGCAAAGAATTATAAGGGGTTGGGTGGGAAGGTGGGTAATGCATTCTGATTAAATCATGTGCAACTCTCCTGACTAATACCAGCACAATACTGATCTAGACCAAAGCATGGTGCCCCTTGATCGCCACATGTGTGCCACTTGTAAGCTCTCTGGCTCATACAAGAGATTGCACCGTATTCTGTAATTACCTTTCAATGGTTTAGCCCCTGCAGCAACTTTTTAAATAGATCCATTTACATTCTAAACACGCTGCATTATTTACCTCACTGCCAATGTGCCCATCTGTGTATTTGTTCAAGTGTGCTGCATGGGTATTAACACAGCCGGGAACACACAGCTCTAACTTTTTAAGGACTTGCCCTTGTTCTAGGATTATCCACCCCATGCTTAATTTACAGGGTCACTGTTTCACGCCTGTTTTCAGCTGGGATGTGGTGGGTGGGGTCAATGAACTGCGTTTGTAACTGAATCTGAATAGGTTTGAAATAAAATTGAAGTGTCAGTGTGCGTGTGCAGTTTGTGTGCGTGTGTTGGGTTCAACCGGGTTACTTTAAATAAACTTGGTATAAGGCAAGGAAAACAGCTTCTGAGTCTGCATGGAGCGTTACGGGCCTTAGGATCTCGTAGATACCGAAACAGCGAGAGATAGAAGATTGGCATCAGACGCAGCATTAGTATTCCCTCTCTGAACACGGTGCTTTAATAAGACTGGCTGTCGTTCTTTTTTTTAGCGGGGTGGGGAGAGATAATGATTCCATATCTTCGTGCACAAACTCATGCATGTGAATCCTATTTGATGTGTAACAGCCTTGCAAACTTTTAAGACACGTATAACCCGAATTCAGGGATGTACGCGTCGAGATACCACTCCAACAGGCGCGAGATCTGGGTCCCACTACAGCCGAATGAAAGCACTTGGGGATCAAATTTAATCCACTTATCTTGGGATCTCATCTCCCACCACCCTCGTGGAGGAAACTTGTATAGATAACATCAGCCCCCCATAAAAAAAAACCACACACACGCCAACCCCGCCCCATATGGCCTTCATTGCAATTACAGCATTGCTAAAATTCTGCAGGGACGCAATATCAATAATTCAGAGATCTGCATGAAACGACCAAAGGATTCGTTCTCCGGCATGTGTGCAGGTGGGAGGGAATTTTAAAGTATCAAATCCGTGGTACCTATGTGTGTGTTTGTGTGACCTCTGCTAAATAGATGTGACATTCTTCCTGAAACGAAGGATTCTGGCAAAATCAAGGTAAAAAGTCTCTCCGCAAACAAGAAGTGAAACCCTGATAAGATAAGGCTCGGGAGCTCCTCGGGACAAATATTTATGGTCATTTACGTTGCACGGTTAATCGGCTGGAATGTACGCGTCAAAAACAAAATTAAGCCAATCATTTACCAAGTATCCCATTCTGCTGTAAAACACGCGATGTATTTGAGTTGGCAAAGACGGTGTTTTCTCTCCCCTCTACTTCTGAGGCACACCACCCCAAAACAATAAACCCTACCGCAGACACGGCTAGCATTAACAGTGGGAAGACGGAGAGAGAGAATGAGGGAGTTTGTACCCGCTTAAAGCTCAACGAGCTGTGAGAGCCCAGTCACCAAGTCACAGGGAACGCAAGAAGGGTCACTGGTCTCGGAACAACAACTCTGCTTTCTCTCTCCACATATACTGCCAGACCTGCTGAGTTTCTCCAACACTTTCTGTGTTTTTTGTTTCAAAAGAGCGTCGGTGAGATGGATAGTACATATGTGCAATCTTGATTTCAAGTAGGCACCCCCCAAGAATAGGTAGGCTGTCTAGATAGTGAAGGATAAACATACGCCTGACCCTATAAATACATAATAAATACTGAAGGATAAAGACTCTTGATCCTAAATATATAGAAAATAGTGAAGGATAAAAGACTCCTGACCCTATATATAGCAGTGAAGGATAAAGACTCTTAATCCTATACATATGACAGAGAAGGACAAAGACCCCTGACCCTACATATAATAGGGAAGAATAAACAGACGCCTGACCTTATATATACACATATATGTATAAAATACTGAAGAATAAAGATTCCTGACCCTAAATATATATATAAATCAGTGAAGAACAAAGACTCCTGACTCTCTATATATGAAAGAGAAGGATAAAGACTCCTGACTATATATATGGAATAGAAAAGGATAAAGACTCCCGATCCTAAATATATATAACACAGAGAAGGATAAAGAGTCCTGACTCTATACATATAATGGTGAAGGATAAAGAATCTTGACACTATATGTACAAAACAGTGAAGGATAAACAGACTCCCTGCCGAGATCTATGGACAGGAATGTGCGTGGAGTTGTCTGCTGTGCAACTATAGAGCTGAAGTTTACCTGTGTGTAGTATGTGGCTACGTTGTCGCCCAGGGATGATTTGTGTGACAGGTTTTGATCTTATCCCCCAGACTGAGAGAGTTTGGGGCTTTCTTTATGTTGGTGTATGTGTGTGTGAGGTGTCACTGAGGCTACCTGAGTCGCCTCACCTTTCCTCCCCCTTACCTTCATGGTGGAAACTCCTGACGGTATTGGCGTGACTGGCCGACCTCTCGGGGAACTGGGACAGCACCCAGGTGTCAGTTGCCTGTCCCCGCTCGATTTCCTCGCCCGAGTGCAGTCGGTACAGATCCACCATGTACTGCGGGATGACTGCGTTCCTGGCGGGGTGAGGGCGGCGCCGGAGGCCGAACATGTTGAGGAACCGCAGTTCGAACTCCTGCAGCAGGTCCTCAGTCTGCGGGGGAGCCGAGTTCGCGTACTGCTCGGCGAATCTCTTGCGGCCCACCTCGGGGATGAGTCCGGCCGAGCCTCCGAATAAAACCTGACAGAGCAAGAGCGCCATCAGAGAACGTCTACCGGCGGTCATCGTGTCTCTGAGAGGGAGAGAGAGAGAGAGAGGAGGGGGGGGGGGGGGGGGAGAAAGAGAGAGAAACGGGGTTTATTACGGGATCACAAATAGTAAAACACACACACACAGATCAGAGACTTAACGGGGCAAAAATAGGGAGAGCAATATAATGACATAAGGATAAGGGGTGGAAAGATGTAAAATTTAAAACAAAAAAGATTCTCCTTCCAGTGTGTAAAGATTGAAACAAAAACATAGAAGCAGGCTAGTTAAAAAAAAAATCTCACTTTAATTCTGAATGAGTCAGCAACCATGAAGTGGAATGACATAATTTTCTTAGGAGGAAAACTAAGGAATTAAATAAAGCAAGGGAGACCAAAAAAAGTGCACACACACACGTGTGTGTGTGGGAGAGAGAGCCGCCTTGTTTATGTTTGTCTGAGCTGTTGTATCTGTCTGGAGTGGGACACATCAGATAGTTTTGAGGGAAGTGGTGGGGGTTGTCTGGACGGGCAGCAGACCTACAGGTGCTCTGTCTCTTTCCTGAGTCCTGGGTTAGGCTGTAGCAGAATGCACTCACTCACTCACTCTCTCTCACACACACACACACTCGTTCCTGTGCCCGCGTTACCTTTCCCTTGAACAGGCGCCCCGCTCAGAGAAAGCAGCGGTCCATTCAAACGCGGGCAGTTCCGACTCGGTCCGCGGGCGCTGCCGCCCTCCGCTAGCCCCGTCCCCGGTTCACTCTGGTCCCCCCCTCCCGCAAATCGAGGCGCCGGAACATCTGGTTTTGAGAAGCGGGAGAGGAAAAGTTCAGGCGATTATTTCTTTCTTCACCGCGGCTGCTTTTTTTTTTAACATCCAGAAAAAGGGAGGGAGGGTCGTTGATGTGGGTTGGTGGGAGGAAGGAGGTGAGTTCGGTTCCTTCTCTGACCCTCGCCTCGGTTTATCCCTTCTGAGTCTGGCACCGCCGCGGGATTCCGCCGAACTATTCCTGTCCAGGGACCAGGAATCGAACCAGCTCCTCTTCGCTCTTCCCTATGCCCCGCATTTGCTCGCTGTTTAATCCACACTTTCGCTCTCTTCCTCCCTTGCCCGGGCGTTGGGACGCTCTCCAGAGGACAGTGCAGCCCTTCACGCCCATCAACAGCAGGCGAAGAGGGGGTCAGAACATTGCTTTCAGATCTCTGTGTCGAAAATGCACACGAAAACCGCAACGGAGTCCAAGCAAATCGTCCGGTTTACTCACAAAGCCCCGGGCAATGAGCGCTATAGAAAAGTCCATCATGTCTTAACACAGTGGCCCATATATATATACATATACATATATATACAGTCACACACAACAAACACACAATCCAGAGTGTGAAGGGTTTTATATATATACATATATATATATTCAGTAAGGTTTTTGTTTAAAACGCTGATTCCCGCTTCTGCTGCATAAGTAATTGAAAGGGGCTTTATATATATATGTTCTGCTTGCCGGCTGATGATACGTCAATGACGCTGGGTGCCAATCAAATGCGATAATTGATTCCTGTCACAATCTCGACATTGAGATCAGAGCAAGCTGAGTTCGGATCTTTGACTTGGGTTGGCGGTGGAATAGCACAAAACATTTCTCTGCCAAGAGGACTAACGCCGGGGCAGCAAGTTGGACCTTGCGTGATTTTATGCTTCATTTTCTTTTTTTTTGGTGTGTGTGTGTGGGGGTGGGGGGAGGCTTGGTGGTGGGATAGGGAAATGGGAACTCAGTGCAGCAAAATATAAATGCCATCTTTTTTTTGTTAACCACACGCGCCTGTTTAAAATATCCTTTCACACATAGATACCACCGCCGCACCCCCCGCCCCCCAAAAGCTCTCCAGACTGGCCCAGTCCAGCGCGCTTTCTGACCCCGGTGTTTATCCAAACCAAATCTACCGATCAATGGGGTCGGTCATTCTAAAGGCCAGATCCCGTTGATAAGATAGTCGGGCTCTGAGTTGGGGTGGGGGGTGGGGGGAGAAGTCATCGCAATTAATTGAATTCTGAACTTTAATTCTGTCCATTCCGCCACCTCCCCCCTCCTCCCCCCCACAAATAAAAAAGATCTTGGAACACTTCTTAAGGCGATCCAGAAATCTCCTCTACAGTACGTGCGAGGTTTATTTACTCTTGTTCATGCGGAGATATCATCTCGGCGCTTACAGCGATGGTATTGGGAACTCACGCTGGGAGAGACACGGCTGGGCTCTCAGAAATCCACACGCAATAGGAGGTTCCATTCATCCCCAGAGGGTAAGGGCGGATCGGGGGGAGGGGGGTTGGGGGTCGGGAAATTGAGTCGGAGAGCCCCTCAGTATTTCAGTGACAGGACCAAAGCCTGAGAGTTTAGCTCAGACTTTTATTCTTTTCTTCGGCTGTTTTGTTCTGGTTTGGTTCCATCAGTGAGGATTTCAAGAAGACAGGTCACTCGGGGATGCAATGTCGGGAAAGCACTTGCCACCCGCTTTGGGATCCCTTTCCAACCCCCCACCCCCTGATCGAAACAAGATTGGGTCTGATATGTTCGACAGAGAAAGAGAGAGAGAGAGCACAGAGCGCCAACTCCTGGTCAACGCAGCAAAAGGCCAGAGGGTTGAATTTTCCGACTTGCTTTTACAACGGCTTCTTTGTACAACTCTCTCGACACGCGAGAGAGAGAGAGAGAGAGAAAAGTAAAATCATCCTGAAACTCGGCTCAGCACAGATCGGAATCAGCTCCCTCCTCCCCCTAACAACACTAACCCCCCCCCCCCCCCCCCCCCCCTCACCTCCCCCCCCTCCGAGACAAACACACACACACACACACAACCACTTCAATTTACAACTTTAAACCATCAATATATCGAAAACAAAACAGTTTTAAAAACAATACAGACCGTACAGGTGTGACGCCGTGCACAGTGGGAAGAGGCAGTGTAAGAACAAGATAAAGTGTAAGAGAGAGAGAGAAGGAAATTTAAAACCGGCGGCAGAACAAGTGTATAACAAGAGAAAATGTAGTAACGATACTGGGACATGATTGTGTATTGGGGGATAAAGAGATGTGTGTGCTGAATGAAAATAAAGAAACAGAAAAAAAAGGATGTACTGGGGACGGAATAAAAGTTAAGAGTAATTGAAAGTATATCAAATAAATCTTGCATCCTGTAATCAAAAGCAGGAATTGGCTCGCTGCAATTGAACAACTCAAATGACCAAATGAGTGAAATTTCAGGTCACCCCACTCCCCTTTACCTGATGGAGAATGTTGCATTAGACCACGCTGCTGCACCCCAAAACCCGGCTGTTCCTGTCAGCGGGATTTGATGAAAAAGTGCCGAACGGGAAGGAAAGGCGAATCATTTCACTGAGTGAGCAATCCCGGAGAGACCAGAAGTTAATCTTTGCATGTGTGAAACAAAACGCGAGAGGAGGCTCCGGGCGCCCGATTTAAAGCATCTTGCAGCAAGTCAGTTCTTCCGAGTGAATGACTTCACAGTCGCTCATGCAAGGGCTCTCTCTCTCTCTCTCTCACTCACTCACTCCCCTTTCGTCTTCCTGCATTGTGGCTGGCATCGGGAATGTTTACAGCTATGAAGTGACTCATTCATTTGAGAGACGATCTTCATCTAACGTCATTACATCACAGTGGATTTTTGTATTTTTTTAGAAAAAAAGGTTCTGTTTAAGAGTGTAAACAGGGTGACTGATGCTGTGTCTGTGACACAGAGAATTTCCTACATACTGTCATAGGGTTTCTCCGTCAGACAGAAAGAGAGGACTGGAGAACTGTTACTTTAAAAAAAAACTGCACTCCTCAGATATCCGAGTGGGTTAAGGGGTATGCATTTACCGCCAGTAGTCAGAACTTTGAACAAGGTCCAGTTCACAAATGTCGGGACAAATATGTAAACCCCACCGAGCGCTTGATATCGCTGTGTGACACCGAACCCACAATGCACACATCAATCCATAACACACATGCCAATCGTTAATACACACACCAAATTCATAACATACACGCTAATCCATAATGCTGATGGAAGGCGGACTGATGCTGTGGATTACACAAAACCAGAAATTGCTGGAGAAACTCAAGCAGGTCCGGCAGGGATAGTAAGAACTGCCGAGGCTGGAGTCAGAGATAACACAGTGTAGAGCTGGAGGAACACAGCAGGCCAGGAAGCATCAGAGGAGCAGGAAAACTGATGTTTCGAGTCGGGACCCTTCTTCAGCGTCTCTGGAGAGAGAAAGTTGAGTTAACGTTTCAAGTCCAGTGACCCTTGTTCAGACCTGCTGAGTTCCTCCAACAAATTCCGCTGTGTGTATTTCCGATCTTTGTTTTATTTCTGACGTTGTGAATACCCGGTCGTTTTATAATTCAGACAACATTCGTTATCATTTCTGTACACATGTATGCATTAGACATCTCCTGGGAGCACCCAGAGAGAACATGCATTGGGGTTAATAGAGCTGTTTATTAGTCTTATTTATAGCCCTGTTAATTCATACCTCACCTCTGTGCACCGAGTGACAGATCCAATAGATCCCAATTCAGCCCTAACCTCCAAACGCGCCCCCATTTCCCGCCCCCCCCCCCCCCCCCTCCACACACCCCACTATCTGATCTATCTCATTCCAGACACGGACACAACATACATGTGTCCTGATTCCCCCTCTCCCCTTGTCCGTTTTAGTTTAAATACCTCATTTCTCTATTCTGTCTCCGCTTCTTACGTGCTTTCTAAGTTGTCCTGTTGATTTTTTGCTTAGAAAGCTGGCTGGAGAAACTGCCCCTTATTCTTAATCCGAATTTCCATCAATCTCCCCAGAACGCTTGTCAAGCCTTTGTTTAGTCCCGCTCTCAGTTTTTGTTTTAAATATCCCGGACAGCTTGCCCGCCGCCAGTGCTTATTCATTGAGTGGGTAGAGAGTGGGATCTCCTCGGAGAAGACAGAGAGACAGAAAGTCTAAAATCCAAACTGCAGATGCTGGAAACCTGAGATATACACAACACAAAAACTGCTTCGTAGGTCAGATAGTAGCCGCGGGGAGAGAAACAGTTAACGTTTCAGGTCTGGGAGCTTTCAGGAGAAGGGATCTAAAGAGTGATCTGATACCGCCAGATCTGCTGCAAGTTTGCAACATTTTTGCATCAGACGCTGATTGAATGGGCAAACGCGCCCTCCTCTGCTCCCCAGCAGGTCTGGTCACGAAGCCAATCCCAGGTACCTTGCAAAAAGAAAGGAGTAAAACGCCAGACCAAAGGTTGAAGCAGAAAGAAAAAAAGACCACGCGCGGTCAAGGTGGTTTTCATATCTAGCCGGATGGGACAGCAGCGTGTACCCTTTCAGAGAGACCAGTTCAGGGATGTTAACGTTGTTTGAGAAGTGTTAACGCTCTCGAGAGCAGGCTGACTGGTTGTCACTTTTTGTTTGAACACACCGAGATTATACTGTGGTCTTGTCTAAGTGAGATGAATTGGAACTATCAGAAACACTCCGAAAATTCCATGAGTTTACTTGGGCAGAGAGATATTTTGCTACCTACATTGAATCCTGACACTCAAGTTGGGTTTTTAAAATTGGACCCAGTTAGAGAATCAAACTCAGCCTTTTTCCAGAAATTCTCTTGATTGATCTTGGTCTTTGGAATGGGATATATTTTGCTGCTATCTTCCTACAAAGATTTTCCATGATAGTTTGGTCAATAGCAATGGTGCTTTATATGTGGTACTTCACCTTGCATCCTTTAGGAGTATGTTTAGATGGTGTACCCAGAAATGGGAAATGATTCCCCTTCCTGATTGTTCTCCAGTGCATATAGGGGGAAGAGCAGGATTATAATAACATAACTCAGAGATAGTAAGAACTGCCAATGCTGGAGTCGGAGATAACACAGTGTGGAGCTGGAGGAACACAGCAGGCCATGGTGTGTATAAGTTCAGTAGCAAGGTTTAAGTTATGAAGAATGGCTGGATAGGTTGGGACTTTTTTCACTGGAGCGTGGGAGGTTGAGAGGCAACTTCAAGGCGATTTCTAAATTAGAGGGGTATAGATAGAGTTAATAGCAGTTGTCTTTTCCCTAGCATGTGGGATTTCAAGATGAGGGGGACACACTTTTAACGTGAGAGGAGAGAGATTTGGAAAAGACATGAGGACAATTTTTTTTACACAGACGGTGGTTCCTGAGCAGAATGAACTTCCTGTGGAAGTAGATATGAGAGCAGTTACAACGTTTAAAAGACATTTGGATAAGTACATGAATAGGAAAGGTTTGGAGGGATATGGGCCGGGAGCAGGCAGGTGGGACTAGTTTAGTTTGGAATTATGTTAGGCATGGACTAGTTGGACATAAGGTTCTGTTTCCGTACTATATGTCTCTATGACTGGGTGTCCCTCACCATCCAACCACAATA